TGGTAAACCTAATTAGAGTCAAACGACCAACCTTGTTTAACAATTTATATTGCCAATATGCTATCTTATGACTGATTTACTCCTCTAAAAACTTAAAGTCCTTCAGTTGATGTATTTCTCTAGGTAAGAGTTCGCTTGATACTTGTGTTCAATACCATTGAATCTATTTTACTCCTCTTGATGGTAGCTTAGAAGAACACAATTGATTTAGAAACATTCACTGTAAGGTCATAAAACATGGCTAAATGATTCAAGATATCAGAAATGATTCGTGTTTGGGAGTTAGAAACCTTTGCGAAAAGAAGAACAATATCTGCAAAAAAAAAAGCGATAGAGAAGGTCTATTACAAAATTACCTGACAGGATTCCAATGGCCTTCATTGACTTCCTTGATGATTGTTTGAGACAAGAATTCCATACAGATAATGAAGAGATAGGGTGAGAGGGGGTCACCTTGGCGTAATTCTCTATTCATAACAAAATTTGGTATTCATCTCCTATTCCAAAGAATAGACATAGATGAGCTAGTTACACAATGTGTAGCACACTATTTTTCTAATTTATTTAATTGACTTAACTTGTGTGTATTTAATTATTTAAAAATGATTTCTACGTGATTTGTTTGGTATTTTGGGTGGTAGATAGAATTATATTTATTTAACTCAAATAATAGAATTAGAATATTAGAAGAAATTATGAGAAATGTATTATTAGTAATATTAAAATAATAGAATTAAGAAGGGTATTGTGGTGAATAAAGGAACTGGTGAGGGCATAGTGGAAAGCATAAATTTAAGGAGAATTAGGTTACTAATAAAAAGGTTAGTAAAGAAGTTTTGAGATTATTTTTACGTAAAAACAGGATTATGGTGAAAAGAGGCAAAGGCAAATGCCAGAGCTTAGGAAGAACCTCCATTGATAGAGCTTGAAGGTGTTTTGCTGGAAGTCCTTAATCCCATTAGATTTTTCATAATCTTTTCTCTTTTCTTGAATGATTGATCATGAATAAAATTCTGAAATAGCATGATTATATGATGTATTATGTGATTTTCGTGCACTGTTCTATCAAGGATTTGTGTGTTATTCTCCATGATGTTGGTATAAATTGGTATTCATATGTGTGTGATGATTTTGATGAATAAAGTATGTCAAATCCATTATTAATCTAATAAAATGCATGTTAATTGATGGATAAATGATGTGTTGTTATTAGATATCATTTTCCTTATTGTTGTTGTTCGATTTGGGGTATGGGAAGGTAAAATAGGAGTTCTAATTTGAACTTCAGGACAAAAACACAGTTTCTGCATTCTGGTTCAGGGTGACACGTGTCACCCTAATGAGGTCTTGGTCGCCATGGCTTTTGAGGCGCTGACGTGCGTCAGGTGCCTAACAGGTAGGCCGTCATGATCCCCAGGAATGACTTTATGGGATGGTCGTCATAGATAAGACATGTGAGGTGAGGTGGGCGCTGACGGGCATCACAATTGTGACGGGTAACCCGTTATACTGCCAGAGTAAGCGTCGTTCTCTCAGTTGCCGGGAATTGAATGTCAGTTCCGACTTTTGATGATGTGTTGTGATTAGGCTACTATTTGGCCACTATTTTGAGGTATATTATGTTTTTTATTATGTTATCGTTGAATTAATTCGCTTGTATTGTATGGAGGATGATGTTGGGCATAATATTGATAGTTTCATGGTGATATTGCATGTTGTTGAGATCATGCATCATGGTGTACGGACTTCGGTCCATTTTTAGTATGCTCTGGTCTGATGGTGTTGATTCAGGAGAGACTAGTTAATTCTAGACGGAAATTGGTGAAGCGTTACTTAAGGCGATAATAGCGATTTCGGTGTGCTTTGGTCCTATGGTGAGGATTCATAAGCGAGATGGACTTGTGTTGTCTATAATGGTACCACGTGTATTGTAGAGTCATGGTGTTGAGTACATTGCATCCATTGTTTGCATATGTATTGAATGATTATGTTAGTATTGGTGATTGAGAATACTTTGGTGGTGTATGGAAATGAATTGTGTTGAATGATTGTTTATGTTTGTTTAGGATACCCTTGTATACTTTTGCACCATTATATATTATGAGCATATTCTCACTCCTTCGTTGTTTGTGTGCTTCTATGCTCCTTTTTTGGATACAGACGTGCATGTAAATGAGTAGCTACTTAGAAGCTGAAGGATGGTGTTGAGTTTGTTCTTCTTTTTTTTATTTTATGCGATATTTAGATTTCGTTGCTCTGATCTATAATACTGAGCAGGTGAACGATTTGTTTTGTTAGTTGTTATTATTAGCGATGTTGTTGATGTTGAAGGAATTTTACTGTAACCATGTTTTATGTTATGAGACTTATTTGGTTGTTGAGTTATTTTGATTAATTTATTTTCCGCTGCGATGAGCCTATGTATAGGCGAGCATGTGATGACATGTGTTTAAATTATTGCATGTTTTATCCAAATTGTGTTACAGAGCAGGTTTATGTTGTGTTTGGCTGACATCCTATGTGTGTAGTTATTTTATTTTCGTATTATTTCGCGTTGGGGTTGTTAGGGTGTTACACAGTGCATTATCAACTTTTTAGTTATGGGAGAAAACTCAATTCTCTTCAAACAAAACTCCAAGAAATCCCAATTAACATGATCATAGGCCTTTTCAAGATATATGTTGAATACCATGTCAGCTTTTGTCTTATTGGATTTACGCATAGAATGAATTGATTCTTAAAGGATAATGGCATTGTAGTTATTCTTTTACCAGGAAAAAAAATTATTCTGGAAAGGTTCAACTATCTGATTTAGATAAGGATGCGATATGTTAACCATATCGTTCGTAATAAGCTTGTAGATAGTGTTGCACAAGCTAATCGGTTTGAATTCCTTAAAATTTTTGGGGCAGACTACCTTATGAGTTAATGCAATAAGAGTCTCAAAAAGAGATAAGTGAAAGCTACCTATCACAAAAACATCTTATATAAGTTGTACAATGTCATCTCCAACTATATGCCAAAACTATTTAAAGAAGTGGAATACATCAGAGTCATGCGCCTTGAAGGGTGTATTGATTCAACGCATAAGTAATTTCTTCCCTCGTCACATGCCAAGTCAAATAATGTTGGGCTTCTTCAATAAGGATCGGAGCCATAGTTGAGTCACACATACTAACGGGGAGTATATGAGATGTAAGAAAAAAAATATCTTTAAAAAAGTAAATGCTTCTTTTCTGAGAATAGTGTCATCATTGCACCAAACGTCGTTCGGAATATGAAGGTCATGGACTTTATTTCTCTTCTCCCTAATTCTCCCAAATTAATTCAATCCTTTATAGCCTTTTGATACCAATGAATCTCCTTTTCCGCAAGGATCTCATCATAAATTTGTTGAAGATAAATTAGCTTTGCTGAATCTATTCTCTCCAAAGAGCATTGGATAGTCGGCTCCCATTCAATGGGAGTTTCACGAACAAGTTCCTCTTCTTGAGTAACACCTTCTTCCATAACGCATTAATTATTTCCATTTGTCTGACTTATTATCAATTTAAAATGTAGAATATTGTATCGTGTGTTAATCTCTAAATCCAAATTTATTATGGGAACGATAAAAGTGTATTTAGCAGTTCTAGACAATGCCCTTTTATGTTGGATATGAGTTAAAAATTTACCCAATTTTATAATATGTCCAGTAATAATAAGATGTGATTCCAAAATGACAGACTTATATGTAATCAACTAATAAATTATTAAAATAAAATAAAAATATATAAGAAAATTTTAATACAAGAAAATTAATATAAATACTTTGCTCTTACAAAGACCTTAGACGTACACTCCTCCCGTCTATAGTGTCTTTGGTTTTTTCTCATCTTATCATATTATTCCTGCTAAGGCCTAATAAAATTATATATATGTTTTCTTTGTGTTAAATTATATCATATGTTATTTTTCACTACTTAGGGAGATAGAACTTTATTTTTATTTGTATTTGAGATGTATGCAATAGAATGAAATATTTTTAATAAAATAGCTAAATAATTAAGTGAAAACTATATTTCATTCCATAATAATCTATTCTGCTCCGTTGTGATAGCCTAAAACTCAAAATATGACTAAACAAAATAATCAATCCTGAAACTCTAAATAGGACTAACCAAAATAGGCAAGTAAGCATTTACAAAAATAACATTTACAATCAAAATAATTCAAGTTGATCATCATAGTCTAACATCATCTTAGAATTTAAGTTGATCATCAAAATTAGATTGTAAGGTGCGGATTTATTCCTACCAAATCAAATTGTATGAATTCAAATTTAATTTAATTACCAAATCAAATTGTAAGAACTCAAATTTAATTTAATTTATTTCTATAAAATCAGATTATAAAAATGCAAATTTATTCCTACCAAATGGGATTGTAAGGTGCGGATGGCCTCTTAATCGACCATTTTAATCCATTTTCCCAAATTTATTAACATAAGCTAAAATTTTAAAAATAAAACAAACAAAAAATGCAAGAGTTTATATCCAATCAATAACACCAAACAAAGAAGTATTTACCCAATTCCAATCAAGAAACACCAAACAAAGTATTTACCCTATTCTCTGCAATTCCAATCAAGAATACTTATGTGTATCTAACCATTTCCTCTGAAATTAATTGAAAGGACTTGTAATCACAGCCGAACTATATCCTAAAAAAAAATTTAATTTAAATTACAAAGGTCTGAATCATTGCCAACTGTGATTCTACTAAGCTTAATGGAGCTTATACAATAACATTAAAAAAATGAGTATTTGCATTCTGTATAACTAATTCACATGCTGCTAAGAGCAGAGGAAGAACAGGCAAATATTTGTACTCCCACCCGATTTCTCATTTGTCAAGACTGCAATGGAAAAGACTTGCACCATGTTGGTAAATAATATGCTAAATCTTCTCAATATGAGCTCACTCCTGTACACAAAACCTTCCATGAGCTCAAAATATAATCAGATAATGGCTGCCAAACCGACAACATCCCCATCATTAACATTATTGGACTCGGGAGCATTGGCTGGGCTGCGTTGTCTCACTGCACGGCGGAAGCAGAACATGTTAGATTTTTAACAATATTACTACAAAAAAATCGATATGTTCGAATAACAGCTGAGAAGCATAGCAGTAAATGGAAACTAGCGCAAACATATTCATGGGGTCTTAATATGTTTTCAACTTATCACAATTAAATACCAAAATTTTAAACATCTACTACGTACGCACTGCAGCTATTTATTGATAACATTATAATAAACTGCATATTTAGAGGTTTGGAGAAGTAAAACACGGAGAGGAAAAAAAAAACATTAAAAGTCATTGCTTACTTGAAACATTTGTAATGATGTTTACACTTTTCTGTGCTGCGAGTGCTTTTAATTTGTTACCAGTTGCCATCAGAAGCAAGCTTTTCATGTGCTGCTTTTGCTCCTTTGGACTCGACGTTTTTGTTAAAGATTCCTCAAAGGCATGTAAATCACGAGGAGTAATAAAGGGGAGAGACTGCAAAACCTAAAAAAAAAAGAATGAATGTGTATTAGTAATATGAATGCAAAACCTATTCATGGTCTAGGATTTTTTGCAAATGTATTCCAAAACTTAATGCACAAAGAAAAAAATTAACCAAATCACGGAAAACAACTAACCTGCCTGGGGGCTGGGTGTCTATCACAGAGATAAACAAATATCTCTCGGCAAATGGCAATCAGATCAGAACTGACTATCGCATTTGATTCTAGGGATAGACTTTGAATAACAGATGTAAAAAGATCTCTAGAAACAAATTCAATGAGTTCAGTATGGTTTGTTACAATTGAAAGAACTACCGTCGCAGAGCAAAAAGAAGAAATCTTTGTCACAGCTTCACCATCCGTCCATGTAAAAACTTCTAAACACATTCTTAATATCGGAAGGGCAAGAGCTTCATGCTTTAGAAGGAAACTGTCACATTTAACGACATAATGAGAAGAAAAAATATAAAAGCTTTCAAAGGGAAGTTAGAAATAGGAAAGAACAACTACAGATGAAGCATGTTCCATAACAAGTAGAAAACACACCCAACCAAAGAGCATGATGCAACTGCATCCAAGCTTTTCACAGAAGACATGTCGAAACGAATAATATGCCCAGACTGTTCCAAAGAAGGGATTCCAGTATTTAGGGGAGGAGAAGCAATCAAGGAGAGGAGTGAACACATTTCACGGGTGAGATCCCTCAAAAGTGTTTCCTCCATCACTTCTACTTTCAGGTCTGATCCACTAAGAATGCCATGAATATCAGGAACCTTTGCTCTACCATCTTGCAGAAGACTAGACCAGGAATGGCTAAGAGCTTGCTGAGCATGAACAAATAATGGATGAAGAAGTTTTTCCAGCCAAATCTCCCTCATATCCACAGGACAGTGTTTAACCAAAGGAATCAAAATGGAATGAACAAGCTGCCTCAAATGTCTGAACTCCATTGACTGTATATTCTCCATCAAGGCAACAACAACGGAGTGTACATCCAAATTTTTGAAAAACGAATCTCCAATGGTTGTTGACAAGCCCAATACATTATATCTATTCATATAGAACAAACATTTAATAATGTACGGAGACGTAAATAAAGTACAATATAGGTGTCATAGATGCAGAATATTCTTATTTTTAACTAGGAACTTAATTTGGTCTTTATTGATATTTGGTGCAAAAACAAAATTGAGGAAGAGATTATAAAATGTAGATAAGAAATAAAAATGGGACATGCATGCTTACCCACTGTCTCTGATGCCTTTAAACCAATTTCGTATATCTGATTCATTTGGTTCACCGTATACATCCTTAGGGTTCTTTTGCAATTTAGGGTTCTCTTCTCCAAGAAGACTGAACCTCTCAACATCACTCATGACCATAGCAGATTTGATCTCTCCAGGTAAAGCTTGACTTATAGATGGAGACCAAAGAGAATGTAAGCCCCGAAGTAGCTGGAAATTAAAAACATACTACATTATTAATAACTGTAAGAAATAAAATATAAACCCATTCTCGTGTCTTCACGTAACAGTTTAAGCTTTTGAAATGGTTAATGCCTTGGTATAAAAGCCTCTGTGATCAAGTTGTCTAGAATTCAAGTGTAGCCAACCCCATTATTTTAATAAAAAGTTCAATTTGAACATATAGGATTGTGCTCTTCAAGCCCGAAGGGCGCTTGAGCGAGGGAACATGTTACATGTATAAGATTAAAAAAAATCACATGTCTTCACCAAATAGCTTAAGCTTCTTGGATAGTTGGTTTACAGAAAGAACCAATTATTTAAAGTACAAGATTGAAAACAAAGCAACCATTTTGATTTAAAATACTAGAGGAAACACATGTGCACAGCCACATCAGGGGTATGCATACTTTCAAGAGAGGATTTAGCATCCATGATACATGAAAGGCCATTGGATTCAAAGGGGTTGAGTCTGACGTTGAGCTGTTTTCTAAATTCCCTTGAGCTTTCTTCATTCCACTCCTCTTAAGCGCCCTCTCAAAGAATGTAACTGTGTGAAAAATTGACCACATTACTGGTGCTTCTGAGCACAACTGAACCAAACCATGTGGACTAGATAAATATCTATCCTGCCACTCCAGTTGTGTCCACTTCTGGCTCAAAGGTTCTAGTAGCCACTTTAAAACTTCTTGCTGCTGTTGAATCCTGTGTCAAATTAAGAAATAATAAGTGAGATAATATTTTAAATAAAATTGTTAACAGAGTATATGACAAAAACAAATTATCAACAAAATTATCTATTCTCTTTGATGGTTACCCAGCAGAAGAAGCCATAACAAGAAAAGCTTCGCCTATAAGATTGTGCTCTCCTTGAAGCAACCGACCTTCCCTTTGCAAACAAGCAATGGTATCAGCAATGCCCTACATACAAACTTGCAAAGGTAAATATACGCAATCTCCTCCCAAATTACATTCTAAGCAAGCAGGACACTTTCAATTTGCACTCGAGTGTCTAAAAAAACTGAAACCCAAACTGGTAAGAACAAAGCTACACCAACTACAAATGTATAAAACTTTAAGGTTCCCTAGGCTATTTATATATCTTTCAATAATGCCAATTTCACATGATTAAAGTACCATAGAGAAAACTACACCGTGTCTTTCAAAGATTTAAATTTATAACCAGTCAAGGTTCCTTGAGTTATTTACATAATCATTCAATAATGTCATTTTTCATATGACCCCTAGTTGCTTCAGTTAATTCAACATGACCCCTACTGGCCGATTTTTTTTATTATGTTATGACTCAAAACTGGCTTAAATAATATTTATTCCATAACTAGGTCAATGTCAGTTAGATAGCTAAACAAACTTTCTCATCAAGTGTAAAATTCTGTTAATATAACCAGCTAATTGTGATTGTTCAACGATGGATGTTTTAACAAATGCACCTTCATATGAGGCAAGATGCTTTTGTCAGCAGCTTTTGCTATCCGAATAAATGATGTACAGATCTGCAACCTTGCATGCCGAGCACTTGATGTTGACGTATCCTACAAAGATAATATATAACTTTTACTTGCTAGATAATTTCACAATAGTTAAAAGTAAGAATGAAAAAGGGTTGTTTAGGGAACCTTAATTTCAAAAGGAAGGGATGTTAGAAGTTCAAATAGTTTATTGATAACACTGCCAGCTGCATCTGGGAAATACTTCAAAAAGAGGCCCATAGCATCCAAATAGTGAACAAGTACTTCCACAAGTGCGGGCTCCGTCCATTTCAAGGAAATAAATTGTTGGAGCAAACCTTCAAGAGACAATAACCAGAATTATTATAAAAATCCAGCTAGAAAAGCTCTAAAACAGCAAAGTATGAAAAATTAATCCAAATAACCTTCAAATGTTCTACATAAAGCAAACTGCACTTCAGCATTGGCCTCAGCAATATCACTGGATCTGTCAAAAACAGCATTTACAACATTCTCTAAAGCCAACTGCATGCTTTCCACCACAGCTAAGTCCTACAATGACAAAAGCAGAACCCACATAGACATGAAGTGATGGTGAAGCTGAAAATTTTTAGAGACTAAAATCAAATTGAAAAATAAAATAAAAGGAATTTAAACCTGATTTGGCGCTGGTGAAACCAAGAAACTCTTGATTATTGTATCAACTCTTTCGGAAACTTTAGCAGCTGCTATCAGGGGTTTGTACGAAGCAACAAATTTAATCAGCTCCAACTGTTTTTAGAAACCACTCATCAGTAAAAAATATTTCAAAAAGGTTAATTCAAATTTAAAATAAAATAGAAATCGAAATAAGTTTTGTTGTTATTTCATAGCTCTGTGCAGCTATAGTTACAACTTACAGCAGGCTCCTACCCTTTTACCTCTATAAAGAGTGTAGGGAGAGTGTTTGCATATTTCATTTTACACACTCAAATGGTGAATTACACAAACAATCTCTTATATTGAACTGTTATATGATCATATAATATGGTATTCTTTTATTTTATTTTTAAATCTTTAATATATATTAAGATCTATCCTAGCCCTCCAAAACCTTCCTAAAAGATGTCTCATTACAGAAATTACCCCTTTAAGAAAAAGGGAATAATAGTTTATAGGATGACAACAATGTATAACTTTATATATGTCTATACATACCATCCTAGAACGATATTGGCCGAATTTCGCCTTATCCTCAAAATCATCACTCCACAACTCCAATGCCCCTAAAGAAAGTGCAGTTCCAGGAAGAATTTTCTCTTTTTTGAGCATGCGAGGGAAAGAAGTATCCAATATTGCACCACAAAAATCATCATTCACAAGGCTTAGAGTCTTCTTCTTTGCATTCTCAGAACCTGAGCCACTAACAGCCGAACTGTCAGCAGCTGAGTGAGAACTTTTTGGCTTTGACATTAAATCCCTCATTAACGCCTGCAAGTAAACATTTGAAGCAAGAAATGAGAGATATGACATATGATGCAAAAAGGAAGCACCATCGGACAGTACTTTTGAACAACTGCAACATACCAGCCAAAATTGCATGGATTGAAAATGAATTGCAAACTTGTAATTCTTGAAAAATCCCAGCATCTGGAGAGAAAATAAAATGAAATGGTTATGTGAAATGCGATTTACACATGTTTGTGTAAAAATGAAGTAAACTGTAACGGAAAAACTTTCTGTCCATGCATACAATAGCAACATGAGTTGAACAAAAGAAAATCAGCTTGTCATTTGACGAACAAGTTATGTAATTTTTTCTGCTAGAACTGTTGTGTAACTAAGGTATTCTATCATCTGCAATTATCTATCCGATGGAGCTCAATCAGCACTGAAGCCAAAAAGATTAATAAATCATATTGAGATTAAAAGGAAAACTATAACAAAATTGCCAAAGAGAAACCAAAACCACTATTAATGTACAGCATCTTAAGCCAAACTTCCCTAACCCAAGCTCGCACAATATTACACACTTAGCATTACTATTATTATACTATACATTAATTACCTGTTCTAGGTAGAGTGAAAGTATGGCACTATCTCCAGCAATACTTTGCAAGTTAAATGAACCCAGTGATACCATACTTTCACATACGGATTCAGCAAATTCATATTCACCCTCATCAATAGAGCCGAGATCTGTACCAGATTTGTACAAGAACTCCCTAGATATATTCATCAATAATTGAAAGATGTCCCTCATAACTTGGTCAATTTCAGAAGCAGATGCATCAACAGATCTCTTCCTACAATAACAATTCAGAGATGTTATTCATCAACAAAAAAAAATAATAAAGTCAACACTGAATATACCAATCATTAGAGCTCTATAATGCATACCTCGAACAAACAAGTTTGAAAAAGTCAGAAGCATGAAGACGAAAGTCAGGAGCAGATAGTAGGAAACCACAACTGTTGGGAGTCGATAGAAAAACAAGGTTTTTTCATAAACAGAAAACCAGCATGAGTATATAGCAAAAATATACTAGTCTTGAGCTAGATGATAAACAAGGTAAGATACCTACCCATTAATGATACCAGACTTAGCAAGATCAGTCAATGGAGCCCATTCAGCATATGCAATTACTGCATTTAAAGTAGCTGTTACTGCAGCAGCGTGCAGTTTGGCAATGTCGGTCTGTTTTCTACTTGCTTCATTTAGTGCAGCTACAAAATGTCTTTCTAGCAACTGCACCAAGTATCACAACATTAACGATAGTAGTGGCAAAGAACTTGTATTGAGGTTTGCGGCTAAAGAACTTGTAATGAGGTTTGCGGCTGTTACATACAGTGTATAATAGTGGCAAAATTTCAGACAATGATTGAGTTAGCCCGCGCAAAAGTAGCCTCCGTCGGTCCCCTGAAATACCAATATTACAAGTAAGGACACATAACATTTCACATACATAGAATTTACTCAATACTAAATACACATTAATTATTTATAAGTGCAAACAGTAATATTCTGCTAGTGCATGTTATGAGTGTCGACTTCGGAATTCATGTTTTGTAATTTACTAGCACAACCAAGTCAGTCAAAATCAAGATTTTATTTAGGATTGGGAAGGGCAGCCAAAATCGTATCATTACATTAATGGTAAATCCAATAAATTCAGAAAACGCGCCCGCACGCGCGCGTGTTGGGTTGTGTGAGTGTGATATATATAAAATAACATTTTCCATAAATAAGAAAACAAAATTAAATCATACAAGTGTTTAATTAAATTCAAAATACAGAACACCTGATATGAAAACTTATTTTTATTTTTACCCAATCCTTTTATTACTTCTTCTCACACGGTGTATTTTTCTGGTCCAAACGAGTTTAACTCTTCTCTCGCTAGCCGAAAGCGAAAACTTAAACGGGCCCAAACCACAGGCCCATAAAAACCCTAATCCCAGATCTAGTTAAAATATAAACAAACCACAGGAGAGGAAAACACAATAAGTAGCCACGTGTGGATTTCGGCAGTGGAGTCTAAAGTTCACATCCAATGGCAACAGGAGCGGATGGAGACTTGCAAGCAGCACCCATGGCAGGCTGTGCACAGCAGACGAACTAACAAGACAACCAGAGGCAAGCAACTTCAGCGCAGCAGAGACCAACCTTCAATCGCAGGTTTTTCAAATCAGAAACCCTTTTTTTTAGTTACACGGTCACAGAGCAGACCCAGAATCAATGCTTGCTCAAGATCGCCGCTTTCACGGGTTTTTTAATCTTGAGTGGCAACCCTACTTGATCCTGGCTGGCCCCAATTTTGCATAAAATCTGGATGGTTGGGGCTGAAATAATTGTGAAATCGGGCGATACGATCCAAATCACAAATTTAGGTACTATGGGTACAAAACCTATTTCATTAGTATATATGTAGACAGGGATCACAATAATCACCAAGTTAGCATATTCCATACCATCCAGTACCCTCTTCTTCACTCTACATATTCTCTGTTCCCTCTCTATTCACTTACATACAAACACATTCATTTTTTCATGGTATCAGATCAAAAACATTTCAGATAGATATATAACAAACAAGCCATACTAATGTGCCCCATGCCCTTGCTTTGTTTATAAATATTGGATGCCCAAAACTACAACTAGAAAATTTGTATTTCTCAATTGCCTAACACGGTTGAAGCAAGTTTGATTCTTTCTCAATTTGTATATACCAGACCTATTTACTAAAACCTCTGTGATAAAGCTCAAGAGATTACAAACCTTCTAAGTCTTCATTGTGAACCGTAATGTCCTCAGGAAGCCACCGCAGCATCATTGAAACCAACTCAGCCTGTATGTAATTTCTAATCATTAAAAACAATGTATAGAAATAGAACAAACCAAGCATGAAAATGACACGAGGGGAAACTTGAAATTTACTTGTATTGGACCCTTGTTGGATAGAGTAACCAAAGATGGAAGCATTTCTTGCCATAGATCAATACCCTCTCTTCTAACTATCTGTGAAAGTACCACAAATCAAATATAGTTTATACCAAGCAAAATTGCAATTACGACAAAGTAAGAAACTATGTAAATAAAATGAACATCATCATGATAAAAACCTCAGCAACAAGGGCAGCTGTCTGACTTTTAAGAGCCCAATCTTCACAAGGATCTGCAATCTCATACATTAACTCAACGGAGAGCTTTGCAAAGTTCTTGTGCTCTTCCGGGCTTAACTCCTCCCACCTTAACCGCACCAAATGCTGTATACAAATATATCCTCACATAAGAAACAAAGATAAATAGCTAAAAATACGTAAATTGTCAAAACAAAAACAAAAAACAAGATAAATCTCCTAGAAAAAGAACTAGTAACAGCATAAGAACTCGAACCTGTAGCATCTTAAAAGCATGCAATCGAATTTCAGACGACCAATTCTTTTTCACCAAAAGGAACAACGTGTTCGCTAATGTCCTTATATCACCACTTGCTTTCATCTAAAGAAATTTTAAATAGATTAGTCTTCAAGCAGATATTCAAATGTTAATCTATCATCACTATAAAGTAGCAATAGTAGTAAACTACAACAATAATTGCTAGTAGCAGTTAAAATTAAAGTACAACATAACAGCAAATACTATAGGAACATTATGATTGATTGATTGATTGATTGATGGAAAGTGGTTAAACTCAATTAGGTCATTATGATCAATAGAGGAAAAAAACTTATAGCTTAAATTTTAATTTGACAATTGTTACAGTACATAACAACAATCAGCTTGAGAATTTGAGAAGGTGTATCTGCTACTGCTAGTACTAAGTGATGTAAATGTGAATGAATAATGAGCAATTAAGAACGGTTACAATCATGGTGAATAGATGAATTAGCTGTGTTTTAGAGTGATTAGGGTTTGTTGTGAAAAAGGAGTTGGGAGAAAGGAAATTACGGAATCGAGAAAAGAGAGAGCGGCTTGACGAGCGTGAGGTGTGGAAGACCAGTTGAGAGCGGTGGAAATGGCTTGAGCAACATTGTTGATACTATCCGCCATTGTTAGTGCTGCAACTGAGAGAAAACGTTGCTTAGGGATTCGGTTTTCGTCAACAAAAGTCTCGTTGGGTTTTGAATGAGTTAACACTTTTTCAAGTTGGTGATTTTTTGTTCGTCGGTTTTATAACGCTGCTGGTGCTTGTGTGTTACGCAGTTATGCTACTACACTTTCCGGAAAATGTTTTTTTATTAAAAATATGGGTTATAGTCTTTCATAAATTGGTCTGAAAATCTTTTAATCTGATTTAATTAATGGGCTATACTACAGATTGAATTAATGTAAGGTTTGTTGTGCAGTAGAAATATACACTTTCCATTATCAATTAGTTTTATTATTTCAAATGTGCAATTAAAATCAAAATCAAATGTGCAATTATAATGAATCACAACTCATAATTATAGAATTTATACAGGGTTTTAAAGTTGTTGTAGTGTTAGATCAAACTTAAGTAAGAGATGTGAGAAGTTTTGTATTCGAGTGTTTTGTGACTGGAATTGAATGTTTTTTCTCTATTTAAGAATTAGGGTATTTATAAGAATCTTTTAGATCTAGAACTTAGGATCCAAGAAAGCGTTAACTTGTTTTCCTCCATCAAGAGCGTATAAAATTGATAGGTATTTCTCCTATTATTTTAGAGGATGTAGCTTTCTTCTTTAAGAGTCTCTCATTGTGAAAAAGCATGTCACTTCTCGTGTTCTTATGAGTGGGTTTTAAAATTTTTGTATCTGATATTGTGCATCACATGTTACTATCTCACTCAAAATACGTAACTGACTAAAAAATAACATTAAAATGTACACTTTCTCAAATTACTCTCTCTTCCTCTTTTAATGTATGCAATTTTAACTTTACACTCGATTAATTTCTAAAATCCACTTACACGCTCTGTCAATCACCTAAATTTACATGTGAAATTAGATTGAATTGTAGTGTATTTTCACTTTGTTGCTGTGTGTCGTTAACTCTCAGGTCTCAAGTCTGTCACCACATCAGGGTCGTCTTTGAGGGCGTTTAAGGCGACCTACAACATAGGACCTCACATTTTTTTCATGATTAAACTGTGTCAAAAAGGACCTCCATACACATCATTTACAGTTAAATAGACCCTCTTAAAAATAACTCACGACACGGGACCTCTCAAAAATTGGAGACGGCTTTGCACCACACCTTAATCCTTTCAATTGGTTATCACTTTTCATAATCAAATGTAAGATATTTTTCAATTTATAAATGCAATTGTGTCACCATCAATTATCAACTATTACGATTGTTACTGATACAATTTTGGATTTCCTCTAGTTTATCAATACTCATTTAAAGCAACGTGGCTATTCATTTGTGCTACTTCTATGTGTAATTTTTTTTTTTTACAAAATCACAATTTTGGATGGACAATATTCACATTAAATTTGTATCCTTATCTTTATAATTTATTGTCAACCTTTTGTATTGGACATAGGGATGACAATGGGTAGTATTTGGACAGAGTACTATAGTACCTGTTCCCATACTTCCTGTTTTAAAAATTTCTCGTACCCGAGCCCATACTCGTGTAGGCATAAACATTTGTACCCGTACTCGTACCTTATAGATAGCTAAGTACCCATATTCGTACCCGTTTACTCGCATTTCTTGTAAAATATTATCGATGAATTATAATTTATCATGTCATTTTAAGATTTTTGCAACATTAAAAAAAATTAAAGGATATTATTGTTTAGTTAAGAAATAAACAAACACTTATATTGAAATGTCTACATATTTAATATAGATGTATTCAATAAAATTGATAAAAGTACGTGTGTTTATAATAATAATAAAAATGAAAATATATAAATATATATAGTGCGGGTATGAGGCGGGTTGGGTATTAAGGTACTCGTACATGTACCCATCCCCGCGTATTTTAGTGGGTAATTGTCTGTACGCATACCCATATTTATTTTTGCGGAATTTTATCCTACCCATTGTGGGTAATTTTTGCGAGTACCCTATGAAAATGGGTCAAATTGTTATTCCTAATTAGACACCACATCTCACATGTTACCAGCTCACTCACAACGCATAACTTTGGCTATAAAAAAATAAACCTACATTATATTGAAACCTCTTTACTTCCTTTTTCAATATACACAATCTTAACATTACATATAGGTAATTCTTCCAATCCTCTTACACGCCCTCTTAGTCACCTTAAATTTACATGTAAAATTAGAATTGAATTATAGTGTATATTCACTTTGTTGTTGTTATCTATTGTCGTCTCTTACCAACAACAAAATTCTTATGTCTCAAGTTTGTTGGTACACCTTAATTTTTTAAATTGGTAATTACTTATCATCGTCAACTATAAGATATTTTGTAATTATTGTAATTACATCACAAAATATTATCAACTACTACGATTAAAAAATACAACCTTTTGTTTCCCCCAATCTACCAACATTCAATCAAAACGAAGTAGTCACTCATTTGCATTACTATACTTTGTAATTTCTTTCCAAAATCACATTTTTTGGGAATAATATTAACTTTAAAATCCACTCACGGTAACTTTATATCTTCATTGTTATAACTTATCGTTAAATTATTGAATTGGATACCATACCTCATTGTTAGATTTATCTATATTTGTGGGCTGTAATCAATTGTTATTTTTTAGTTTATGAAAAACGGGTTAATCATAATTCTGGTAGAGGTGCACAAGTAGGCTCTTTTATTGGTTAAGTAATCCTTTTAATTAAAGTGTGAGTATCTGAAACCTGATTGGTGTGGGAAAAAGTGTGGGCTTTAACCTTTGGCCCATAATCAGTAAGGACTAGGGTTATATATATTATATGGTCAGGTCCCTAACTAATGGGTCCTTTAGGGTTAGTTGAGGTGCACCTAGGAACCCATGTCATTTTACCATTGGGAACTTGAACGTTCCTAACACGACAAAGAGGCCTAATGTGACTCATATCACCACAATAGTGGAAAATAGCTTTATATGAAGTGCTTCTTCTATTTATTTTAGTGACATGATGATTTTTCTTAAAAGGTCCTTCCATCTTTCACCCTAAGAACTAGAACAAATATAAGATAGTGAAGTAACATGTGTTAGTTATCCTTTAAAAGTTTCAATTTCAAGTTTTAAAATTGGACACTCAACACATTCTATTATTAATATATTTTCAACTAAAGTATCTGAAACATTATAACGCTTATCAACTAGAGATGTATGTGTTTCCTTAAGAGTTTCCAAAGTGCGATTAAGATTATTTATCTCCTCTTCAAGTTTTAAAATCATTTCTTTTTGGAGAGAAATCTTCTTAAAAGCATTTACGGAATCAACATACATATCATTGAACTCTTTAATTCACTACAAGAATACTCATTATTGGAATGAGAATTATATACCTTTGAAGTTTCACCTTTCTTACGTGTCATCAAACATAGGTTAGCACACTCATCATTCGAACTTGAACAATGATCAGAGAAGGATTTCCCATCATATTTTTCCCATGTGATATAGGCTCTACGACCTTTCGAGTTTTTTCCGTTCGTCTTGTAGAATTCCTTATCTTTCTTTCAACGATGTTTGGTGAGACTTGGGCAAGTGGTTCTAAAATGTCCTGATTTTCTACACTCGTAACACGTAATATCATTGTCTTTTTTTGTGTTATTTCTTAGGTGGGTGGGTATTTATTAAATTTACTAGACTTTGTTTTTATGTTTAAGCTTTTTTTCTTCTCTTTAAGTATATATTGTAGCGTCTGACAAATAAACCCATATCTTCCTTTTTAGAAGATTCTTCGTCAGAGTTGTCACTTTCTTCCTTTGAATTCTTCCCTTTAGATGAAGAGGCTTTCAAAGAAAGATCTTGTTTCTCTTTTTTCCCTTCTCTTTATTTTTTCAACTTTACTTCGCTATCGGCGAGTCATTTCAGTTAATTCTTATGCTTGATTAACTTTCCAAATTGTTTTGTAATATTAAAAGTTTTATGATCGATGGGTTATTTAATAGCGGTAACCTTGGTTGTCACTCCCTACACATAGATCTCCATATTTTTTTAGTACAATCTTTGTTAGAAAAGGTTTTTCCCAACTTGCGTAATTTATTGATTAAATGGAGGAATCTAGTTTGCATGGAACCCACAAGTTCTTCGGGTTCCATACAAAATAGTTCAAATTTCTCTGTAAACATATTCATTTTAGAATCATTGATGTCGTTTGTTCCCTCAAAGAGAGTTTGGAGAGCGTCTCGCAGACCTTTAGCACTTGTATGATGTGAAATTGAGTAGAATACTTTCGCGTTTAAAGCAGAGATAAGTATGTTTTTCGCTTTAAAATCATATGAAGTCTTTTTGGTCTCATCATCAATCCAATCCTTAGAATGTTTGACAATATCATCAACATCCTTAAGGATATATGGTCCCTCGGTGACGACACACCATAGGTTTTTATCAACTGATAACAAGTCTACATACATGTTTGCTTTTGAATAAGTATAATTTTCGTCTTTAAAAATATGTGTTCTATTATATGCTCCCTTAGGATTGTCATCGTCCGCCATATTCACATTTTTTGGATGTCAATTAGACACAATCAAAAGACCTGCATTGTTCCTTTTAAATTGACAGATATTTGCAAGAGTTCATACAATCACCAATCCATAATAATGATGTCATACCAGCGTGGCAGGACACCTAGCTCGCGATAGGAAAGTCCAAGCCCTGTGCAATCAAGACCTTGACCGAGATCCTAGTCCCACGACTGGCGAAACTACTTCTCTCCCTCGACAAGTTCCCCAAACTGTCGAGCATCATAATGAGTCGAGCAAACTCTCATATTTAGCAAACATAACTTGCAAAACACTAACACAAGGCAGACACCTATACAAAGAAAAATAATAATAAGGCATACAATGTCAAACATATATATATATATATATATATATATATATATATATATATATATATATATATATATATATATATATATATATATATATATATATAT